TTTTTTTTTCTCTGCTTGATTTCTGTTCCGCTGATCTTCTCTGATTCTTCCCGGTGATCTTTTTCGTTCTTCCGGTGATTTCTCCTTTTCTTCTTGATCGGAAGCCATGGCTTCTCAAGCTTCTGATTCTTCTCTCTCATCAAACGGCAAATCCGCCATTGATGATCCTTCGAGTTCGTATTTCCTTCATCATTCTTATGGTCCATGACTCGTATTGGTATCTCAACTTCTCACAGGTGACAACTACGCTTCTTAGAGCAGAGCTATGCTGATTGCCTTTTCTGTCAAGAACAAGCTAGGATTTCTTGATGGATCCATCGAGAAACCAGATGGTTCAGATCTGGTTCTTCTAAATTCATGGATTCACAACAACAATCTTGTGATTTCATGGATTCTGAACTCTGTTTCTAAAAAAATTTCAGCTAGCATCATTTTTTCTGAATCCGCTGCTGAAATTTGGCTCGATCTTAAGGATAGATTTTCCCAGAGCAATGGGCCTCGCATTTTTCAATTGCGTCGAGAATTCGTCAATTTGGCTCAAGATCAACACTCGGTTAGTGTTTATTTCACGAAATTGAAATCTTTGTGGGAAGAATTGAGCAATTTCAGGCCCGTATGCTCGTGTGGAAAATGTACCTGTGGTGGTGTCAAGGCACTTTATAATCACTGTCAAATGGATTATATAATGTCCTTTCTTATGGGACTTAACGAGTCATTTGCTCAAGTACGGGGTCAAATTTTGCTGATGGATCCTCTTTCAGCCATTAACAAGGTGTTTTCTTTTATCTCACAAGAGGAACGTCACAGGAAAGTGAGCTCACAGTCTATCTCCACTGGAGATTTGAGCCATTCCATGGCTTTTGCAGCAAAGAATGATTCTTTTTCCAAACCTAGTAATGGTTCTCCTTCTTCTTCAGCTGCGGGCAATAAGAACCAAAGGAAGGATCGTCCTTTTTGCACTCATTGCAACTACCATGGACATACCATTGACAAATGTTACAAAATTCATGGCTATCCTCCCGGTTTTAGACAACGACAGAGGACTCAATCACCTGCCACTCAACCTGGTATGGTGAATCAAGTTTCAAATCATGTTGTTCCTGAAGGTCGTGATAGCCAGAATGGAAGCACAGGGAATCTTCTTCAGAATCTGACTAGTGTTTAGTGTCAACAATTGATGGCTTTGCTCTCTAGCCAACTGAATTCTGTTTGTCAGACTGATTCTTCCAATGATCCTTCTTCTTCGGTTGTCACATGTAATTGTTTTTCTGTGTCAATCACTCCAGCTTTATCATCTCCTCTGTTATGGATTGTTGACTCTGGGGCTTCACGGCATATTTGCTTCAATGCTCATGCTTTTATTTTCATGAGACCTGTACACAATTCCACAGTCACTTTGCTTCCATACATGTTCATTTTTCTAGTGATGTTAGACTCAGTCCAACCTTGTTGCTTAAGGATGTCCTTTATGTCCCTCAGTTCACTTTTAACTTGATTTTAGTGAGTGCCATTACCAATGCCTCTATGCTCACGCTTGGTTTCTTTCCTGATCATTTCATGATCCAGGAAATGCACAACAAGAGGATGATTGGCAAGGGTAGAAAGCTTGAAGGTTTATATGTTTTTGACATGACAAGCACAGATGTTGCTTTGGAGCGAACCCACTCGGTAGCATACACTAATAATGTGTCAGTAGATACTTGGCACCATAGACTAGGTCATTTGTCTCATAAATGTTTAGACATGTTGAAAGGCCAACTGTCTTGCACAAATTTCCATTTTGATAATAAGACTCCATGTTACATTTGTCCTTTGGCTAAGCAAAGGAAATTACCATTTATTTCTCACAATAATATGTCAAAGTTTCCTTTTGACTTAATACATTGTGATATTTGGGGTCCCTACAACTTGTCCTCTTATTCCGGACATCGTTACTTTTTAACCTTGGTGGATGATTGCACTCGTTTTACTTGGGTTTTTTTGCTCAAACACAAAAATGATGTTTCTGTGGCAATACCTAAGTTTTTCAATCTTGTAGCTACTCAATTTGATAAGAAAGTCAAAGAGTTTAGGTCTGACAATGCGAAGGAGCTAGCTTTTACTAATTTCTTCAGTCATGAAGGTGTCATTCATTAGTATTCTTGTGTAGAAAGACCACAACAAAATTCTGTTGTTGAATGGAAGCACCAACACTTGCTAAATGTGGTGCGAGCATTGTATTTTCAGTCTCGGGTTCCTCTTATTTTTTGGACTGATTGTGTTCTCACAGCAGCATTTCTTATCAACCGAACTCCTTCACATGTTTTGGGCAAGAAGACTCCATATGAACTTTTGTATCATAAGAAGGTTGATTATTCCCCTCTTCGTGTATTTGGTTGTCTTGTTTTTGCTTCCACACTTTCTGCTAATCGTACCAAGTTTCAGCCACGTGCTCGTGTTTGTGTGTTTCTTGGTTATCCTCCTGGTATGAAAGCTTATAAGCTCTATGACATTCAGTCTAAACAGGTTTTCATTTCACGGGATGTTGTGTTTCATGAAGCTGTATTTCCTTTTCATTCTGTTATTACCACGGCTGTGTTAGTGGACCCATTTCCTGACGTGGTTTTGCTCACCCCTGCACATGATATTATTGACTTATCTCAGCTTGCTGTTGTTGCTGATGTTGCTGCCCCTCCGACATGTCAACCAACTCAATCTGGAATCCCTCTCAGGCGCTCTGCCAGGTTAGCTCACCCTCCTTCATACTTGCGGGATTTTCATTGTAGCTTGGTTTCTCATAGCTCTCAGCCACCCTTAGCCAAGGTTCTTTATCCTTTGTCCAAGTGTCTTTCATATGACAATCTTTCTCCTGTACACAAGCATTTTGTTCTCAATGTATCTTCTCAGTTTGAGCCCCAGTATTACCATCAGGCTGTAAAATTTCCTCAATGGCGTGAGGTCATGCGAGCCAAGTTAGATGCTATGGAGTCTAATCAAACGTGGTCTGTCGTTCCTTTACCAATTGGAAAACATACCATTGGCTGTAGGTGGATTTTCAAGATTAAATACACGTATGATGGCTCTATTGACAAGCATAAAGCACGTTTAGTTGCTAAAGGGTACACACAACAAGAGGGAATCGATTATGCTGAAACTTTTTCTCCGGTTGCTAAGTTGGTTACAGTCAAGGTCCTTTTAGCTCTTGCAGCTTGTAAAAACTAGAATTTGGTTCAACTAGATGTTAACAATGCTTTACTTAATGGTGATCTATTTGAAGAAGTCTATATGGATTTGCCCTTAGGCTATTATGGAAAGGGGGAGACCTTGCATCACAGTGGGAAATTGGTTTGCAAGCTTCAAAAGTCTATATATGGATTTAAACAAGCTTCGCGACAATGGTATTCTAAATTTTCTCATTCGCTGCTTCAATTTGGTTTCACTCAATCCAAGGCAGATTATTCATTGTTTACAAAAGGCACCGGTTCTTCTTTTCTTGCCTTGTTAGTGTATGTTGATGATATCATCATCACCGGTCCTTCTAAGTCCAACATAGACTCTTTAAAACAGTTTCTCCATAGTCAATTCAAATTGAAAGACCTTGGTTCATTAAGATACTTTCTTGGACTTGAAATTGCTTGGTCTTCCACAGGTATTGTCCTTTCTCAATGCCATTACACCTCGACTGGTTTTCTTGCTTGTAATCCTGCGTCCGTTCCTATGGATCCTTGCACTCGCCTCACGGCCACAGATGGACCTGAGTTACCTGATGCATCTTCCTATCGCCGACTTATCAGACGCTTACTGTATCTTACCTTGTCTCGGCCAGATATCACGTTTGCTGTCCATAAGCTGAGTCAGTTTCTTGCTCAGCCTCGTGTTCCTCATCTTCATGCTGCTCATCATCTTCTTCGGTATCTTAAAACTAGTCCTGGTCAGGGTTTATTCTTTTCTGCTTCCTCATTGTTACAGCTTAAGGGTTTTTCTGATGCAGATTGGGGATCCTGTGTTGAGACCAGGTGCTCTGTCACTGGTTATTGTGTCTTCTTAGGAGATTCTCTTGTATCTTGGAAAGCTAAGCGGCAGCCCACTATTTCTCGGTCCTCGGCTGAAGCTGAGTATCGTGCCATGGCTGCTGCCACTAGCGAATTGGTATGGTTGAAACAATTGCTGCAGGACTTTGGTGTTTCTTTGCATGCTCCTATGTTGTTATTTTGTGACAATCAAGCCGCTGTTCACATTGCTTCGAATCCAACTTTTCATGAGCGGACCAAGCATATTGAAATTGATTGCCATTTTGTTCGTGACAAGGTCACTGATGGCTTCATCAAGCTCATGCATGTTCGTTCTAATCTTCAGCTTGCTGATATCTTCACAAAACCATTGCCCTCTGCTCTTTTGTTTTCTCATTTATCCAAGATGGCTGTAAAAGATATTCATTGTCCATCTTGAGGGGGAGTTTTAGGATATTAGTTAGTTAATTTTATTAATCTTGTAGCATAAGCTTCATATAAAGCTTCTACATACGTGTCTACTCACACGTGTATTCTTTGTATAAAGATTGGCTTGTACTCTATTTTCTGATTAATGGAAAAACTTCACTTCCAGCCAAACAGTTTCTTCCTTCGTAATAACATTCGAACTTTAGTTAATTAATTTATAATGATCCAAATCATTAAAGATTGAAATAAGAAACTAAAAAGTATAAATTTGAAGCAAAATGTACACGAAAAACTGACTTCAAACTTTACGGCCTAAAAGAATTTTGGGGTCTGCGATAGCCAAATACTAAACTCTAAGCCTCGTCTGTTTTACTTTCCTAGTCTTTCTTAGAGAAACTACCTAATAGAACAAGCGTTTCCTTTTCTGTCGAATTCTCGTTGTGAAAGCACGGCCTCAAGATATTAGTCCTTTCATATCCTTGTCATTGACAAAAGAATTTATTACATGGTTCCCACGAAATTCCACATTATATATCAAATCGTTTTCGAACCATTTGGCATATTAATTAACCGTTTGTGACTGCTATGTATATCAATAATGAAGAAGAAAACTTGCGTCCGTAATTAGTCTTAGTTTAGAATTAAATCGAAGATGTTATGAATAATAGCTGTCCTCCTCCGTCAAAATTACTATACAAGTCAGTTAAAGTTATTGTTCATGTCATAATCTTATTATACAAATAGTAACCGTAAATAGTAAGCACTGTACAAATAATAACCGTGAGTAATACTAAATTTTTTTCTATAAATAAAACTTTAAGACTCTTTATTTTGTATACTTTCACAAGATTAATAAAACTCTCTTTAGTTTTTCTCTCTAAAATTTTTCTTTTTAGTTTGCATTTTCTTAGTTTTCATACCAGAGAAAATATTTTGGGTTTCTTAGGCGGCAATAAGATTTTTCCTCAAACTGCGCTATGTATAACATCAGCAGATATTTAGCATATATATATATATATATTATGTATACGTATATGTGTGACTTGTGAGTGTGAGTACTGTATGCATGTTTTAGACTGAAAATATATTAAGGCCTCGTTTATTTCACCGATTCGAGTTTAGAATTTGAGTTTTGCTACAGTAAAAAGCTCTCTGAAACAGTCACACATAACTTTTTTACTACAGTAAAAAGCTCTCATATAAAGTCATATCTCAACTTAAATTAAAAACTCAAATCAACGAACTAAATAAATCCTCAGTTTGCGTGACACTCAAGACATGACTACGTTTGTTTCTCTCATGTTCTAATGACTAGTCACTATATATTTTTATATAATCACATTTGACCTATTTATAAATATCAAGTTTCGTGTGGGAATTCCTTTGTCCAGACATCGACTCGAGGGAGATTTAACCAATGTGGGGATAATGTCTTACTGTTCACATACTAAAGTGTTAAATGTCAAACTTGTTTTTGTTCTCTAGCGCGTAACTTTAGTAAAGAAGGTTGAGTACACAATGGGGGTCTTTTTTATTATTACTATTATGGATATACAATGGGAGCGACTTAACACTATATATGGATGAACTTTAATGTACTTTTTTTTTTATCGACAGTGACTTATTAAATATAATAATTTTATAATGTAACGTGATAAAAATCTATAATTTTATTAGTTGTTATAAATTTTTTTGATCAACTACTTAATTTATTATAATCGTCAAATTAATATCTACTTAAATAACTATTAAAATCACATTCATTTATATACATATGTATATATAAATATATATATATATTATGTTGAGTACGTGATTCAAATTAATTTTATTATTGAGTAAACTAATCAACACGTTAACTTATAAGCAATCAAATATAAATTTTTGACATATTTTACCATTAATGTCAAATTAACATTAAATATAATGTTGCACTGGAAAAATTTAATATTAATACTTACATAATATTTTTTTTTGCTAAACGAGATGTAATATTAAAGAGCCACAAAAGGCTAGAAGTACAAACGGAGGGCCAAAACCTAAACAACAACCCGAAAAGTAACCGGAAAAGCCATTGAACGGCTAGAAGACCATCGTGAGGAGTCAAGTTTCACAACGAACCAACGAGACATCACGTAGGTAATTAGTCCACATGGAGGATGCCGGAGTAACTCCCTATCCCAACAACGGAAAAAATCTCATACAAAGAGAGGCGTGAAATCAAGTTCCGCCCACCAAACATGATCTAGCCAAACAACAGCCTTAAGCCGATAACTGCAATCTAACACCAAACTATAAACCGAACGAGGAGAAATTTAATATTAATATTTACATAATATTGTTTTTACTAAACAAGATGTAATATTAAAGAGCCACAAAAGGCTAGAAGTACAAATAGAGGGGCAAAACCTAAAAAACAACAACCAGAAAAGTCATTGAACGGCTAGAAGACCATCAGGAGGAGTCAAAGTTCACAACGAACCAACGGGACATCACGCAGGTAATTAGTCCACTCGGAGGATGCTGGAGTAACCCCCTATCCCAACAACGAAAAAAATCTCCTACAAAGAGCGGCGTGAAATCAAGTTCCGCCCACCAAACATGATCTAACCAAATAACATCCTTAAGCCGATAACTGCAATCTAACACCAAACTACAAACTGAACGAGGGTCGAGTGAAAAAACCACTGGTCTTATTACAATCACGGAAACTACAACACAAAAGCTAGAAAACATCAATGAGATCAAGCCAGAAAAATCTAGCCCCTTAACGCCGAAAATGACACGTGCCAGACCAAGTTTTTCACCTCCTTCCATTGACCTAGTTCCCGGAGTTTCAGCAGG